ACATCTAACTCGTTCGGTCTCTGGCTCGAGGATGAAATAATTTTCGACGAAATGAACATTCGATGAAACAAACTTTCAACGAAATAATTTTCGACGAAGTAAACGTGACCGAAAAAAAGCTGGCAATTTAAGAGAACCGGTTGCATTACATGCAAGCATTATTTTAATTCTATATCTAGGTTTTTTTGTACCAGTAATAGGTTCAATACTGAGAGTTTTTGTTGGGTTCTAACTTCCAATAGAGGGCAGTTTTGTCAGCATTATAAACATCATTCAAGTCATATTCTGCAATTAAAGATTTTAATTCAGCTCTAACTTCTGGTAAGTCATCAATTGGTGCACTTGGTGCTTCTCCTGCTTTGTAATGTTCTTTTACACCTTTTCTTTTTTTAAAATTAGTAAGCCATCCCTATTAAATAGATAAAATGATTAAATAAAATAAAATGAAAATAAAATAATCAAAAAAATTGATACTTGCTTGTGAGACTGTAAATACAATAATTTTGAGTCTTCTAGCATAATCCAGTGCCTTTTGACAAATGATGGAACCAGTTATGATATAATCGGCTCTATTGGCACTATCAATCAAAAATGCTAATGCTTCTTCCAATTGTGGCCATTCACCTCCACGATCTCATTTAGTAGCAGCTGAGCTCTCAGTAATTGCAGACCTTTTTTTTACTATTTAAAAAAATTTCGGTTAATCTATATGAAGTCTAAGTCAGTCAATCATTTAGCCTAAGTATAATTAAATGAATCACAATAAGTCGGTCTAATAATTTTTTATTCGTCATTAGCAAAATGATTATTTGTAATAAAATATCTGACGTAAAAGAACCATCTTTATTGTTCATTTTTTATAATTTAGAAGGAAGAAATCATTCTCACATTTATATTTTATTACTTTTATCAGTTATAATGCATAATCACACATTCTTTCTTTATTTTTTCTTCTCAAGTAATTTTAAAAAGAGAGCTTTTTTGCTTTAATCATTTGATGATTTATCATGAATAATGCATTTATATTTTATTATCTCATCGATTGTATCATTCCAATAATTTAGAGAACATTCTTGTCTAATTGTGAACAATACATCTATATTTTCTATCTCATTTTTATATCATCACTTATATCATTGATTATATCATGCGAAGAAATATATTTGTATCCCTATTAAATTTTATTATGTATAAAAAGGTGGATTTCGCAACCTTTTAATGTTTGAGATAAAAAATAATTTTAAAAAAAATTTTTTAAATTTAAAAAAACACGCGAAATTCTCTGACCAACTTATCAAGTTTACATATTAATATGTATAATGTATTGATTATAGGAGTTAGATACTCATGTACATATTAGCATTATATCACGAGCTCTCAAATCTTTAGGATTTACAGTAAAATTAGCACGTATAATCCCACAAGCAAGAAATACAGAAGATGCAATTAAATACACGAGCAGAATGGGCTCACACTTTTTAGAACAACAGCTGACGATGCCAAATTCTAAAATTATTTACATTCATAAAATCTGTACAGTAATACAGTAATAAAATCGTAATGTAACTGTGTTGATTGTTGTATATAATTATAGGTTTTAACTTGCATCATGGACGTTCAAGAAGGGGAAATCGTGTATAAATAAGTGTTCCTACTCAAAAATGGTGTAAATACATCACCTGTTAGGTTTTTTATTAGGATTATTAAAAAACAATGCTTTATACTGTATCTTCTACAAGTAATAATATAATTTTATTTCACATAGGTGGCTGCAGCAATATCGATTGATGGTCTTTTACATTTTAGGTCCAAAGTTGGAGCCTATAATTCTGATACATTTATTGAATTTTTAAATGAAGTCCGTGATGTACTGCAAAGACAAAATAACGAATTATGATCTCTGTTCGTAATGGATAATGTACCTTTCCATAAAACTGCAGCTGTGCAACAAAGCCATAAATGAAAAGGGTTATCATGTATTGTATCTTCCACCTTATTCGTCACAATTGAACCCAATCGAATTGCTTTTTTTCCAAATGGAAAAGTGCAATCAAACGTGATCATATAAATGATAGGGGACAACCTTCACAATCGAATAAATATGGTTGCAAGAACCATTACAAATAGTGATTGTCAAGGTTGGTGTAGACATACTCAAGAATATGTGCTTGCCGCGCATGCTAGACAACCTTTAAGAAACATTTAAAAATAAAATATATTTTTTTATGTTCACTTTTAAATGAAATGCAAAATGTTTACTTTATGCCGCAAAATGGTGTAAAATCATGAAATCATGCTCGCGCACTGCAAGTCACTGTCGTCCTCCTGAAATGTATTATATTGATTAATAATTCCAAAAAAGTATTAGAATTTCATCGGTTAAACTGTCTCCCGTGTATTGTGTTACGTATTAGAATAAAAATTATTATGGGGAAAAAGATTTTTTTTTTTCACATTTCAAAATTAACTTTTAAAAAAAATGGGTATTAAAGTTATTGGATTCGCCATCTCCACCGCTACTCTTAGAGTAAGTCTTACTCTTGAAGAGTTGGGTCTAGAATATGAATTAGAACCAGTTACTAGCATAACTGAAATTAAATCACCTGAATTTCTTACCGCAAAAAATCCATTGTAAATAATCTTTATTAAATTTTCTCATGTTAATGTTTTCTTCCCAAATTTTAAAAATAAATAAATTATTATCATTTATCATTGTTATATTTAATAGGGGGAAAGTCCCAGTATTGATCGATGACGGTTTTACACTCTACGAATCGCGCGCAATCTGTCGTTATCTCGTAAACAAATACCAAGGAACCAAGAATTCTAAAATTTTGGTTCCAAAGGATATACAAAAGGCCTCTTTGGTTGAACAATACTTATCGGTCGAAAGTTTATATTTTGATATACCAACATCAACTATTAATTATGAAGAAGTTATTAACAAGTATCATGGTAAAGAAGCCAATGCTGAAAAGGTCAAAGAAGCAAAAGAAAAACTTGAAAATACATTGGATATCTATGAAAAATTTCTCGAAGGAAAAGATTATTTGATTGGTGAATATTCTTTGGCAGATATTTGCCATGTGCCTAATCTCTTTGCTAATATTCATAAAACTAGCGCTAAAGATATATATTATGATGCTAAAAGACCCAATGTTGTTAAATGGGTGAAAAATCTTCTCGAAATACCTACTTGGAAACAAGTATTAGCAAAACATAAACTTGAATAATGTGTATTTTCTTTAAAATTTTATTAATCTAAAATTTATTAACAAACAAATAAAAAATAAATTGATATAAATATTAAAATTAACATTTTATTTTGCAAAAAAGAAATAAGTTTTTGTTTCGTTAACTTGATCAGTCAATCGCTTAAAATTCGTTGATGGAAAATTCAATTATCATTTTATGCAGTTTTTTTTTTAAAAAATATCTAAATATAATTTTCAATATTATTATCACTACCACTGCATTTTTCTTTCTATTCTAATTGTTTCACCATCACTTTTATCATTTTCACCTCCCATATTTCCATTACCATCAATTATAATATTCATATTATCATTGTTTGGACATTTTAATTTGTAATTAAAATAAAAAATATACACCAATTTAAAACATATTCTGGTTTCTCTTTTTATCATGTATAAAGGAAAAGTGAATCAGGTATTTTTAAAAGCAAGCTGGTGGAATAGGAACTGAATTATCAATTCTGCCCAGTTTAACAAAATAAGGCCAAATTTTTGATTTTGCCAATTCTTAAAAATGCAGTAAAAATTGGTAAAAATTAAAAATTCTTTTTGGCATGATTTGAAAAAAAATGGTGCATTTTTTTTCATACTAGTGCCAATTTAGTATTAGAAACTGTTTAGAATTTTGATTTGTGGTTAGTTTTTGCTACATGAGATGAAATAAAACATCGCTATTCGTTATTGCAGTAGACAATAGTAAAAATCATGTTACAATGTTTCCCCAATTTTTTTTTATAATTAACTGTCTCTAGTTACAATGGGCTTTCGTTACAATGGTATTTCGTTACAATGAATTCTCATTACAATGAGAAAAAAATAAAAAATTACATATGGAACAGAGGATCAAGCTTTGACTGTCTGTACGAGATAATTTCCGCAGTACAAGAAGCACCGAAGAAGACAAAAATATGGGGATTCTAATATTGTTTTAGAAGCATTCAAAATTTAACTATTCTCAACAAAATTCCGATACAAGATAAATAGTTCCGTAATACCAAAAACGACATCAAATTAGAAAAAAAAAATAAAATACTTCTCTCCCTAACATATACCTTAGAAAGATTTAATTGATATGTCAATCACACGGGCCAGCCATGCATGTCCAATCTTAAAAAAAAAATTATAGTGCAGGACATCTATAATGGTCAATGATTATCACATGACTTTAAAAGCTTATAACTCCTTATTAAAAAAGAAAAAGAAAAAAGTGAACCGATAGAATTAAAGCTAAAGACCTAAGCTTCATTTCTTTCGGTTTATTAGAAAAGTAGAGTTATAAGGCTTTAAAGTTAGGCCATTTTATATATGTCTATCTATGTAAATTGTAGAATTTCGGAATAATATTCCTTTTTGATTTCCTGAAAGGCTAAATTTTTTGTGATACAGAAAATCTTTCAATAAAAGAAATCTGATTACTTCTTTCCTTAATTGTATTTCTCTGATCAAGATAATCAAACTCTTAGAAAAATAAGGAAATTGAATTCTTGGCGAAAAATCAGGTTTTGATTATAATAATAAAAATGCATTGATTCTACAAATAAACGAACCAAAAACATTTTCTTTTTTTCAAATAAAAGAAAATTTTAATTACAACCATCGTTCGCGTTACTATTCATTAGAATAATTACTTTCTTTATTTGGACATAAAAGTTAATCAGTGTATTAATTTGCTAACATCTAATCATTGTCACCGGTATTTGCATCAGAGTATATTAATATACAAAAAAGTTATTATGATCGACATTTCTTCCTACAGATATGATTTATTATTATTATACATGTGCATAGTAATGTAAACCTAAGAATAGATATTTATTACTTTCTTTAAAAATGATTAATTAACTAACTTGTTAACTTTGGCCTTTATCGAGTAGCTGTGACTCGTGTACTAAGTAAAAAGTGTTCTCACTTAAACGCACATGTGTACATGTAATTTCAACTCTGATTTTAAGACTATTGAAGGTGCTAAAAGAAACTTAATGATGCTGAATCTATATTAATTAACTTTCTGAAAAGAGAAATGAGGATCCCCCTTTTTTTCTATTGTTATTATTATTGTGCATTGTGGCTTTGAATTATTATTATTATAAATACACTCGCAAATTTCCTCACATCCAAATTATTATTATTATTATTATAAAAATGGGTATTAAAATTATCGGATTTGGTAAATCACCCACTACTCTTAGAGTAATTCTTACCCTTCAAGAGTTAGGTCTAGAACATGAATTTGAAGAAGGCGTTTATAATGAAATGAAATCACCTGAATTTCTTGCCACAAAAAATCCATTGTAAATAATCTTTATTATTATTAACTTTTTTTGTGTTAATGTCTTCTTCAAAAATAAATTAACTATTATCATTTATCATTGTTATATTTAATAGCGGGAAAGTCCCAGTAATGATTGATGACGGTTTTACACTTTTCGAATCGCGTGCAATCTGTCGTTATCTCGTAAACAAATACCAAGGAACCAAGAATTCTACAATTTTGATTCCAAAGGATATACAAAAGGCCGCTTTGGTTGAACAATACTTATCGGTCGAAAGTTTATATTTTGATTTACCATCATCAGCTATTAATTTTGAAGAAATTGTTGCTGTACAGTATATGAATAGAGAAGCTGATGCTGAAAAGGTCAAAGAATCAAAAGAAAAAATTGAAAATACATTGGATATCTATGAAAAATTTCTCGAGGGAAAAGATTATTTGACTGGTGAATATTCTTTGGCTGATCTTGTTCATATAGCTAATATCTATGTTAATGTTCATAAAACTAGCATTAAAGATGTATATTATGATGCTAAAAGACCCAATGTTGTTAAATGGGTGAAAAGGGTTCTCGAAAGACCTGCTTGGAAACAAATAGCAGCAAATCTTAATTCCGACTAATGTATTTTTTTTTAAAATTTTATTAATTTAGAATCTATTGATATTAAAATTAACATTAAGTTGTTTCGCTAACTCGACCAAATTTGATTGCATTTTTTTAAATTTTACTTTTAAAAAAAAATTTACTATCACTACCACTGCCGCCTTCTTCAATCTCTATTCTAATTGTTTCACGATCGTCATCACTTTTACCATTTTCGCCTCCCACATTTTTTACCATCAATTATAATATCGATATCCATATTATCATTTTTGGTATTTTTTGGACATTTTAATTTTTGTAATTAAAATAAATATACACCAACTTAAAACATATTCAAGTTTCTCTTTTTATCATGTGTAAAGAAAAAGTGGATCAGGTCTTTTTAAAAGCAAGCTGGGCTGAAATTATCAATTCTACCCAACTTAGATTTTACCTAATAAATTGGTAAAAATTAAAAATTCTTTTGAACATGATTTGAAAAAAAATCATGCTTTTTTTCACACATGAATATCAAAAGGTGTTAAACCATATAGAACAGGGTTATCACATGGTTGTTACATGGTTATCAAAAAAACCTATGCTGACTGCAAAGTATATATTTGATTCATTTTATTATTATTAAGCATGCCCATCAACAATGATGCAAAATAACAAACACTGTTGTAGTATAATATAGTTGAAAGGCAAGCTAATTCTTCTAGACAAATTATTAAGTAGGATATCAAGAATCTTGAAAATACTGGACTTAGACCTCTTAACATTTTAAAAAATAAAACAAGCATAAAAAACAATATTTAAGGTTTTTTTTTTTCATTGTTTTTTGAAATAGCATTCCATGTGCAATTTAGTACAATAAATAAATACCCCAATTGTAAAACGGCAATGCTATGCTCAAAAAAAGAGAAGACATTCCCGCCGCCATTCTTTTCGCCGGGGACTGTAGCATTCAAAATTTAACTATTTGCAATAAAATTCTGATACAAGATAAATAGTTCAGCAGTATCAGAAACGAGAGACTTGCAACATCAAATTAAAAATAAAATAAAATGCTTCTATCTAATATACAGTGTATAACAAAAAAAAAATTGGAATTGAAAAATTAAGAGGAAAGTCCCAGTAATGATTGATGACGGTTTATCTGTCGTTATCTCGTAAACAAATATCAAGGAACCAAGAATTCTACAACATTGATTCCAAAAGATATACAAAAAACCGCTTTGGTTGAACAATACTTATCGGTCGAAAGTTTATATTTTGAAATACCATAAACAGCTATTAATCACGAAGAAATTATTTATATAAAATATATGGGTAAAGAAGCAAAAGAAAAAATTGAACAGACATTGAAAAATTTCTTGAGGGAAAATATCATTTGATTGGTGAATATTTTTTGGCTGATCTTGTTCATATAGCGAAAGACCTGCTTGGAAACAAATAGCAATAACAGCAAATCTTAATTCCGACTAATGTAATTTCTCTTTAAAATTTTATTGATTTATTAAAAAATTTTCTATAAATAATAAAATCAATAGTATTGTCATTTTAAAAATACTGTTTAAATTAACTACTGCCTGTGCGATTGATACAATCATCAATGTTAAAAAAAAACAAATAATTGAAAATATTCGTTGAATAACCATAATTAGAAACTCCTTTATTATACAGCTGGAAGTTGTTGATCTCCACTATACCTCAGGGTTCATTATCATCAAAACTCCAATCAGGTTCGGAACTCAGATTTTCGTTTAAATTCTTTTCAACATGTGGTATATAAATTTGGATCATAAATATTTGTTTGGAGCTTTTCTTTTAGCTTGGATTAATTTGTGATATGAGTTTGTCTTTTTATTAGTTCTGCCAATTTTAAGTAATTAACTTTGTTGATACTGTATATATATATATATATTTATATATTTAAGAAAAATTTATATCTTATTTGGTTTTTTTAACAGTATATATTAAAAAAATCTTGTACATTAGAACGTAATTATAGAAAATAAATTTAAAAAAAGTAAAAAGTAATAATAATTAAAAAAATAATTAAAAATTTTGATCTTTCAAATAATTGACAATCTGTTCCATTTCGAAATAATGGTGGTTTATTTTTAGCATATAGTGCTTAATAATTGACAGATGATGAGAAAGAACTAAAAGGCCATTGTTATATTTGATGTCATTGTTGTTGTAATTCGATAAAGGAATGTTCTTAATGTTTAAATTAGCAAGGCTAAAATAATCGGTTAAATTGGGATTGGGATTTAAATCGGAATTACCACCATAATTATTATTACTATTGTGTAAACATTGATGTGGTTGAGGTTGTTGTTGTGATTGAGATGAAAATGATAGAGGTTGGGATTGTTCGGGTGGCAAGTATGATAAGGGTTGCAGTGGTTTGAATGACTGCTGTAGTTGAGGTGAGAATGATAGAGGTTGGGGTGGGGAGAATGATAAAAGTGGTTGTGGTGACATTATGTTGTTGTTATCAGCATTAATATCATTGTCATTGCCTAAAAATGGTGGATTATTTGTTCCAAAATGATGATGATTGGGATTGTAGTAAATCACGGGATTTTGTTGGTAATTAGCTTGCTGTTGAAATTGTTGATTAGACATTTTGTAATTTTTTACTTCTTGGAAAAATTCCGCATATTTATAGCTGTTTTTTCAAAAAGTTTGTTTATATTTGTTTTATCATATGACAACTTGCTAATGTGATGTACATATCATATTTGCGTTATACTTTTTTAAATTCCGTGCGTAACAATAATATTGTATTTTTTAAATGATGTTCTCCGTATAATGATGGGCATTTGTAAATCTCATCATTTATCATTAACGTATTTATAACTTTCTTTTTTTAGCATTAGACTTTTTCAAATTCTAAATCATCAACTTTTTATTGATTGTTTGACTTTTTAAGATTAATAACGCCATGAATGCGAGTCGCTAAACTTTTTGTGCCACAACGTAAAAATTCAAATATTCGCGAATTCAAAATTGTAAATATATTTTTGATTTTAAATGGATTGTCATACTTAATATTAAGTAAGCTAAATGAGATTTCACCCATTGAAAATCCCGAATGAAGATCTTTCTAGGTTTGAATTATATCCAATCGTTGAATATTTCAATAGACATTTATATACATTATAATGCATAACACGTTGTAAATTATATGATTTGAAGAGCACGAATAAATAATAATAATAATAATAATAATAATAATATGGGGAAAACAAACAAACAAACATAAATTACAATTAAAAAATATTCAATTGATTACCATATTTGGAAGAACTAAACCAACCATACAAATATATTAATACAGTAATATACACTGAGCATTACGTCATAAAGGGTTCAAAACTGTGTGAAACATTCAATTATAATATATCCTACTACCCATTTTTATTTGATTATTTTTGCGAGCCAAATTAAGAAAAATTGAAAGAGAATAAAACCAATGATATTGCTCTATTCAAGGAAAATTTCTTTGGCTGAAGCATCAGTATTAATCCAATCTAAATGGAAAATAAAAGATCAGGCAAGCCTTTCTGTTTGGTGAGTAAAAGTGGTGACCAAAGGAATAATATTCGACAAATCCACTTCCTTATTAAATAGTCCAGTGTTACCAAAAACTGACAGTAAAGCTTCCTCCAAGGCTTGATTTTTTCAATATTTTTAAAGCAGGCAATAGGAAATTCTCCTGCTTCGATAAGTACTTTATTGCAGGGTTTATTATAATCTCTCTGATTTTTTCTCAACAAATTCTCGATTTCATGTTTTGTTGAAATCAATCAAATAAATTTATTTGTTTATCTCGTTCTTTATTTACTCTAATTTCTGATTGAATTCTTGGCTTGCAAATGAAAAGTCTTTAATTACAAGAACAAATTATTGTTTACACATAAATTAGAGTAATAGTAAATGATATATTTGTGCGACTTGCAATGCATATTAATATCTTGCTTGCTCAATATCAACCTGTCGTGTAAGTTTATGTGATTTTGATATATTGACAGGTCAATGTAACGTGAGTTAGTTAATTACATATATTGATATTCCTATATATAAATCTCATTTGAAAATTAAAACGAAGCTTTTGCAAATTAGTACCATCGTTAACGTGAAAATAACTGTCACAGGATGTTGATACGACTTCCTGGTTCAACAAAGCAGAAGAAAATTTGGTCGTCGTGATGAATGTTCTAAATATGGTACGTGTTAAATTATCTTAATATAGTTTACTTTTAGGCACTCGAAAGTGGTTCAAAGTCATTGAAATTTTTTTAGACAAAAATAAACAATGACTTGAGCAAAGCAGCTCGATTATGACCGACCAGTGTCTTCTGGAATTTTGGATATTGAGTCCGAGCCAGAGAAAATTTTGATTATGTCCAGTAGTAACACTGGTTGAGATATTTCAATTTTCATTCATTTTGACAATATTCTTGAAAACATTTTAAAAAGCCTGCCTCAAAGAACTCAAATATATTATACTCGTGGTCGAAATTTAAGCATTATCTTTAAATAGATTATGTACATATATTAGATATCTCTACATACATAGGTAAAAAACGGTGGTCAAAAATATAATAAATTAATTTTGTTAATGCGTTCCCGTTCAATACAAGTTGGAAGCAGATCCGCGTCACTTTTTCAGCAGTTTGTAGCATTTAAACCCCTTAAATTATCCTTTAATGACGTACACAGCGACTTAAAGTTGGTCAGCAGGTTTAAAGTCTGTTGTACGGAAGATGTACCACGTCGATCATATAGTAAAATCCTCCTTCTTCCTTTTTTATTTTATTGTAAAATGTCTCAATTTAATTCGAGTATACCGACACAACAACTTCCAACAGACGAAAGTGGTTATATTGACGAGACTTTAACAAATATTTTCATAAACCACAATCATAATAATAACAACGGTAATGGTATTAATAGATCACCACAACAAGACATTAATATAGAAGAAGGTATTATTGATGATGAGAATGATGATGGCAGCGATATTATTGAATTCGAGGAAGACTGGGAGGAATTTGTTGAACAATTACAACAAATGTTGTTGGTCTTTATGATTCCATGGTTAGGAAGATGGTTAGGCAGAAAGTTTTCATTCTGGGGTGATTATATTATTTATTATTACTATTGTTACCATCACTATTATTGTTACCGTTATTATTATTATTATTATTATTATTATTATTATTAATCAACCGATCTATATTATGAATTTTCATTAGCATGGTCAAGATTTATAGAGTGGTATTATCAACCAACCCTTGTCAATAAAGTTCAACTCAAAATTCATAATATATAATATAGATGTGGCTATACATGGTTATATTCTAATCCAATATATAATATATTCTAATAATCTAATATATATATAATATAATATAATAGATTTTTATATCACCATATAATTTATTTGGACAAAGAAGTTTATTAATGTGGAATAAAGAAAGAGAAATATTTATATATAAATATAATATTTCAAAACATTTTTCACATTGATGATTGTATTCATTAATTCTAATAAATTTACATTCAAATAAATTAATATGATATAATTATTTTATGAGGCAAACATTTTAACGTTGATGAGACCAAATACTATTTATTATTATATATAAAAGGAAATTACATGTCCATGATTTTTCATTTAAAAAATAAAATGAAAATGAAAAATTTTAGCAAAATTACAATATCATCATAATTACTAATTATAATAATAATACTTACATCCATCCATCTTCTGTAGTCAATTGATTTATCAGACTTACCAGATTGATCATCAACCTCTCCAGCATTTATTTGAACTGATGCATATCCTTGACAGTAATTAAATGATTTGTTACTGAACTATACTATATTTACATATACAATATGAGATTAAATAATTATAATTTCTTTATTATTATTATTATTCTTAAAAAATTTAATTTTTTCATTTAATGTGCAGAACATTAGTACTGATAAAAGAATTTTCTCAATTCTTTTCATGTCATATTAATATATATAAACCAACCTATTTAACAAAATCAAATATTCAAAAAAGATGCCAACAGCAACAAACATTTTTTGATGTGTCAAACCTATACAACTTCAGGACTTCAATTATCATTATTATCGTTAATCAAATGCTTTTGATATAGGTTAATGAATTTAACAATAAAGAAAAATGACTTTCAATTGATGATTCTTATAAGGGTCATCCTATATATAGAAAGGTTCTTTTTTTGAAATATACAGTAACCTACAAATTAGTACAAGATTTTCAATGGTGATATTTTGCAAAAATCACTTTTGTTCCTGTGACAGTTTAATAACATGTGTCATATATTGAACATTGATCTGCAAAGTATACATCTTTAAAAAATACACCATCCAAAAAGTATCCAGATGAGGTTTTTTAATAATTACCCAAAATGCCACATAACAAAAGTACATAAAATTTATATCATATATGGCTTAGGTTTTGGCAACGCTACATATAAAATCTCATTTTGCTATGATTTTTAGTTAAAAAAAAAAAAAATCAAACACCAAATAAATTGCAAGGATTATCTTTAAAAATTTTATGTTTCTCAAAATTTTATATAGTTGGCTCAGTCTAAAGACCTCCTAAATTTTGGGAAAATTTTAAAAGTATAAAAGTCATTTTCTGTCCTACCTTTTAAAAAAATAGCCTCATTAGTTGGTAAAATAGGTTTC